GGTACTAATCATCCTTACTTGCAGCTGAGAACTAAGCTGAATTGCGAAAGACGCAGCTCAACCTGCTTATTAAGGGCGCTTCTGGCAGCCACCTTACGACTCGTGTCTGATCATGGAGCACAGCTACGGTGGAAGGGTCAGTTAGGGGGTTAAGCCCAATCCACCCTGTCAACATTCCTTGTGGGAGGAAAAAGGAGTACCCGGAGAAAACCCAGGACTTTCGGTAGAGTGTTGACTAACTCTTCGCATAAGTGTCATTAGTCCGATGTGAGGATCGAACCCACAATCTCAGAGGTGAAAGGCGCTTGCTCAGCCTACTACCTGAACCAACTACATGAAAACGCCTGAAAAATACAAGCAGCGGTGGCCAAGTGGTTAGCGCACTTGCCTTTCACCTCTAAGGTCGCAGGTTCGAATCTCAGTGAGAACTTCTCAATGTGACTCGAACCCAGTCCTCATGTGAAAAGAGTAAAAGTCGACGCTCTGCCGAAAGTCGTGGGTTTTCTCCGGGCACTCCGTGTTTCCTCCCACAGGGAAAGTTGACAGGGTGGGTTAGGCACATAGGATAGGTCTGGAGGCAGATCATTAATGAGGTATGGACTAATAGCGGCAGCTGCTCAAGCGCCATTTGTAAGCTCAAAGTCTACCTCGGTCTGCTTCACGTCAGTCCGGTTCTATCTATCTATTCATAATGTAACCTGTCACTGAAAAGCCCTGATAGGGAGTGTGCTGTGAAATATCTGTATCTATATATATATATATATATATATATATATATATATATATATATATATATATATATATATATATATATATATATATATATATATATATATGCCTTTTGTCTATTAGAACTAACTCAGATTTACATATATGTTGTATTTTCTTGACATAACACATTCCAGGGCATGTGAACTATCGGTCAGATTATGCAAAATCAGTTTCTCGCTCGTTTTCCGGGTATCGAGCGAGAATAAGTTTTAATGTGAGAATAAAGCCCGTTCTCCACTAGGCGAATTTATTCGCGCGAACAGATAAAAAGTAGGAAGCGATCCTACTTTTTCGCCGCGAATTTTTTCGCCGACCAATCACGTTGCCGGATTTCGGTTTTCGCTTCGCGTCGCGCGAACAAATTCGCGTAGTGGAGAACGGGCTTTAACTTAATAATAGCTTTATTCATCCATCTTAAGATAAAAAAGTACAATGGACTTACAATTACTTGTTTAAGAAAGTATATATGCTGCGGATACGTCTTTATATTACAAATTGTTGTAAGATAATTTAGAAAACTAACTAAGAAGTTAAAACTAATAAATTCTTTAATCTAATAAGTTCTTCTAATAAGTTAAAACTATTTATACATATTTACAAGCTCTACCTGAAAATGAATGTTTATGCCTTTCAGTTCCTGAGAAGAATGATATATTGCGATTCCGGTCAATGTTCCTTAAATTGTACTGATTGTTAATTAATTTTGGCAAAACACTGCGACAGGGATGGTGTGGATCGTTCATAAACCTATCAACTTCTCGACTAGTTGCATCTTCCCTTCTTTCGTTCAACGGTGGTAGGTAATCTTTTTCCAGGCCAAGGATTCTTAAGCTCCTGGATTGGACCCGCTCTATTTCATCTCGCAGGTAATTAGGGAGTCCCGCCCAGACAGGTGATGCATACTCGAGAATTGGTCTTATTTTGGATTGATAGGTAATAATACCGTCTTCAGCTGGTAACTGCGATTTCCTGCATTCTCTAAGATGGTAAAGGCGTTTATTTGCTTTACGTGTAATCTCTTCAACATGTGCGTTCCATTTTAGATTATTTTGGAACGACACGCCAAGTAATTTAAAAGCGTTGACCCTTTCTATTAACTCATTTCCAATACGAAGACGTGGTGGTTCAGGTATAGCGTCCGTGAAAGAGATCCACATGTCCTTAGTTTTTTAGCATTAATTGCCATTTTATTTAACACCGCCCAGGTATTTACTTCATTGATAGATTGTTGTAAATTACTATTAGAATCTACGCTCACTATTTGGTGTTGTGTGCAGTCATCTGC